TATGTTTGACCTATAGCTTCTTAACGAACTTTTTAAAAAGTTCGTTAAGAAGCTATAGGTCAAACATAGGCTATTTTATCTGAAGAGTGCCACGTTATTTACGTGGTACGAAACTGTATAGTAATAAATATGCCAAACAAAGCTTGCTTTGCGCACGCTCACTGCTTGCAGTTTGAGCGCTCTGGCATGGTTTGATGTCCCACAATCGTGAGGCATCAAAGGTAACTATAAATAAGAGTTACTTTCATCCTGCTCATCAGCACTACACTGATGAGGCCCATTAGGCCGAAACGGTACCGTCTGTAGTTAGATATCGCTCTATGGCCTTTAGGTCATATATATTGAGCGCTCTACAGGATGAGCCATGCCGCTTACGCATTGCGCACGCTCACTGCTTGCAGTTTGAGCGCTCTGGCATGGTTTTGATGTCCCAAAATCGTGAGGCATCAAAGGTAACTATAAATAAGAGTTACTTTCATCCTGCTCATCAGCACTACACTGATGAGGCCCATTAGGCCGAAACGGTACCGTCTGTAGTTAGATATCGCTCTATGGCCTTTAGGTCATATTGTGCGCTCTACAGGATGAGCCACCGAAACGGTACCGTCTGTAGTTATATATATATATATGTATGTATATATATATATATATATATATATGTTTATATATATATATATATATATATATATATATATATATATATATATATATATATATATATATATATATATATCTTAATCTTAAATTTAAATGCCAAGCATTTCTTGTACCCTCTTGGCTCACGTGTATAATTGTTTCCACACTGCGGTACCTGCCTGTTTACACTGTTTATTTCTAGATAGTTTTATACTAGATATTTATTTCAACACAATATTTTTGAAAAGTACTTTTTTCAATTTAGAAAATGGTAACAGTAACTCTTAATCTTAAATTTAAATGCCAGTTTCTCGAACATGCTGGTATTGCCAATATACCGGCCTCTCCATCATTTCCATTGAAATATTCTGCTAGCATTTCTTGTACCCTTTTGGCATCACGTGTGTAATTGTTTCCACTCTGCCTGTGAATGGGAACCATACTAGTATCTCCAACAGTTACATTTCTCCATCCTCCTGCTGCATGATTTCCAAACCTGCCATGAAATAGTGAAATGCAAGTTTTAATACCTGGTCTTGAAGACATTCAGGAAAACTCAAAGTATATATAGCACAGAGTTCCACTATAATATCTTAAAGTGGAACTCTACACTTGTTAATTTTCTTTATGAAACCTGATTGGTGGAAAAGTAAATTTTTAAAAATGATCAATATAACTTACGGGCTTTACTTACCTATCATTTGAGTCAACAAACCCAACTGGGCAGTAACGTTTGGCCTCGTGTGAGACGTTAAATTCTTCAATCATGAGATAGTTGTGTAATACACATACTGCTTTCCCAATACTTGTAATCTTTTCTGGGGAAGCTACCACTGGTCTTCTCCACACTCGCCATCTTTCAGCAGCAATGCCAAAGGTATTTTCGATTACACGTCTTGCTCTTGAAAGGCGGTAATTAAATACTTTCTTATGTTTCAGACAGCAAAGACCCTGGGTAGGGTTTCATCAACCAAACTTTGAGTGCAAAGGTATCTCTGCAGTGAAGAGGTAGGGGCACTGTGTCCCATTTGAATTTGGAAGAGTTGCAGGTGCAGGTAGCCTTAAAGTACCGTTGGCCAGAGCATTTCCAAAGGTTGAGTTACTGAACACAGATCCATCAGAATTTCGCCCAGCACTGCCAATGTCAACAACTGTAAAAACATACCTGGCATCACAGCATGCCAGAAGGACAATACTATGAGTACCTACAGAATTGATTAAAAGAATGTTTTAAGGGACTGGTCATTTATTATGGGGGGGATGAGAAATAGGGGGCGGCTTCAATTATTTTTATGTTGATTAGGGGCAGCCTCAATTCTGAAAATATGTTTAGGGTGCTCCTTGCAAATTAATATATGCAATTTTTTGTAATCACACTGCAATTTTTTGTAATCGTACTTCATAAGTATAAAAACCTGTATAAAACAAAACATGTGTAGAAGAGGTATTGGTGTACTCAAAAATAGTTTAAAATTTTGGAATTTTTCACCCACTGTCCCTTCCCCCTCCCAGAGACGTCGCTACATGTGTGTGTGTGTGGAGGGGAGGGGGGTGCGTGGAGGGGTGTAACACCCCCAATAATTCAAAACGTTGGTCATAGTTGATCAAAATGAAACTAATATTTGCTTAAAATTGAAGGTCAAAGTTGGTAAAATTTGGTCAAAGTTTGAGATAAAAATGGTCAAAGTTATGAAATTGTTCGCAATTTTAACAATCTCTAAGCTTTGGTCTTTTTTTGCGCTGAAACAGCAGCCTTGCTTATTTTGGTGGAAAAATATTTGAAGCTTTGCTTTTTTGAACGCCCCCCCCCCCCGTCGACAACATTTTCGGAA